ATGGCAAGTCCCTATGCAACTTTACGGATATGTGTCCGCAAAGATTAAGCAGATTGATTGTTTCTTCGAAAGTGACAGTTTCATTGGCTGCCAGGCAAACAGGGCACTGGTAGCAGAAACCTCAACTGTCCAACAAACTGGTAGGGAAAAAGCGTAACAGAAAAGCGCGGAATCGAGATCGAAAACAGGCAGGCTCAAGACTTAAGTCTCACCAAGTTTATGCCGATAGCAATGGCATCTTGTGGCCAGGCATGCTGCCAAGACATCTTTTGTCGCTTGAGACTTTCTTGCTGCGGATGGGCACTTGATGGCGTGTCGTCTCCTCCTTTTGGAGCTTTCAATGGTAGACCAACTTGTTTGCTTCAATGAGCACAATGAAACCTCGAAAGGGAATGAAAAGCACCGGGTGCCTTCTTGACAGTGGTATTTCAAAGGTGCCGTGTGTTCTGAGTCTTGTGCGGGCACCTACCTTACAAATAAGTCATGTCCAGCCCCGTCTGAGAGTGTAAGCCCTGTAAACCCCGTTAGACGGAACCGAGAATGCAGGCGCTTTCTGACAAGGGTCGGTTCTGTTAGCGCAGCGTGTGGAATGTTTTCCTTGAGGGTGAGCATGCAAGTGGATGGTGGATGTGCAACAGATGGAAATCAGGACGTGATCTTCCTGCCATAAGAGCCGCAGACGGAAACATCCCGTTAATGACGTGCGTTTGCAGCATGGCAAAGGCAAATTCAAAGTTGTTAAGTTGCTTTTTCTCCCAGGGCTAGTTCCATGCGGAACAGCTAGAGCAGCTAGACGTAGTCAAGCTCCTCACTCGTCTATGGGCAGGTGGGCAACCTTGCGAGCTGGTGACAGGGCTCGCAGTTCCGCCGGTGACAGTTACCGGCAATGTTTGTTTTGTTCACAACATGGACGCGATTACCCTGATTTGCATCACCCATTAGAGGAATGCCCACTCTCACTGAGTATGCAAGCTGGTGTGGACACAACGATTTTGCAATGCATTCGAAAACCGTGGGATCAAGCGTGCACAGCTTCCCAACGACTGCGGGCTATGAAACTGCTGAGCGCAATCTGGAGAAGCAGAGCTATTTGGCTGAGAAAGCACAGACCTCAATAGTCAGGTTTGCGTCCTTTTCAGATCCCTACCCTTTTAAAAATGAAATTTGAGGGGGGGGAGTCGTACTGAAATTTCATTTTTGCATTTTTTCTCAATGATCAACATTCCTCGTCATTCCATATCATTGGCAAGCAGATGAAAATTAAATACTTGCGCTTAGCTCCTCCGGAGCTAAGCGCATGTCAGACTGAAGCAGCACATGTGTAGGGGTGGCATCCCTCCAAAAAATTGCGCTGCCGTCATCATACTTGCGCTTAGCTCCTCCGGAGCTAAGCGCAAGTATTTTCTAACCAGTGCCCAAGGCTTGTTAAGAAATGTTACTTTAAAATTCCATTTGAGGGGTTGGATCACTATCCCACGGTTTCCAAGCAAAGAAAAGTGGAATTCGACAGGTTGGTTTTGTCCCCCCCCCGCCCTCCCCCTCTCTAGGGGTAGGGATCTTTTCAGCACACTGCAGAAGGCGGTGTGCCGCAAGGGATTTGTCAGACGCTCTCCGAGCGCAAGCAGCTGTGGGCCGCGAAAACCTCCACGCGCGAAAGCTCCGCGAAAGGAGTGCGTCAAGGTCGAGCCGCGAAAGCAGCGGCGAAGGCAGGTAGATAGTAGAAGCGCATTTAAATATTCATGTACAACATCATCGCGAAAGCTTATAAGGATTAGAACATAATATTAGAACCAAATCGCGTGACTTAGGCATGAGTTTCGCGCTTTCCTGTACCAGGGGAGGACAAACCGTGCGGTATTTCCAACAAACCTTTTTGCAAGCCATGCATTGGATTGGGACATCAGGGCTATGGCGGCTATGCAGTCCCAGCTCAGTACACCATGGTGTCCTGCCAGCCTCTAAGAGCCGCGGGGGATTCTGTGATCACCATAGTTCGCGGATCTCAACGTCTCAACGTACCGACAGCATGATGGAAAGCCATAATCCCATTTTTGGGTCAAACGGCCTTGACTTGGCAGTTTTTATTGGTCATTACCGTTTTGATTGTCTGGAACCACTTGTGTGAGTGCGGCTCGACCTTCGATGTTCCTCATAAGGGTCCATCCTAGAGGCCGCATATCTGTAACATGGGTAAATTGTAGCCTTTTCGTCAAACCTGTCCTTTGTGCTAACGGGCTCAGTAAACCGATCCTTTAAGAAGCGCTGGGTCCGCTTGATCAGATCATATTTTGGATTGGGAAACATCCGCAGCCTCCATTCCCAAGCGCGCCCAGCAACTTTTTGCGGCTTACTTTGACTCCAAATATTGGACAGCTGTGTGGCTGCGTCATTCCTTTTCAATGGGCATCATGATGCAGAAAAGGCTTGCTTGTCACTCCATGTGAGGTGTGCCGAAGGATCAATGGCGACCGAGATGGACATGTTTCACAGCCGCCACAAGCCGTGCTCTAAGTCTTCAACAGATCCAGAGCCTTTCTCAGGTTTTGTTTGCTTCTCACCGGGTGCCGGGTGCAAAGTTTCCGACTTACCAAAGTCGCCTCCAAAGTGCTGAGCCGATGAATGGCCAGGAACTTTTGCTCCAAGCTGGTGCAAAAGTTGGTTCGACGCAACGCAGCAGAGTGTTTGTTCTTCATTTGGAGTGGGCAATGTTGAAATCCCCATTCCAAGCAGTTTATCAAAGGTCCGCTTTCACTACAAGTGGCTGGCGTCGTTGCATGGTATTTTCATCCCACTTTGCTTTGCCCTGCATCACCCGGCGAATGTTGAAGGCAGACAGCACGAAAGAACATGATGCCCCATTGGCGCCACTAGCTGCGTCGACTTGCGTGCTGAGGCCCCAACTAGTTGCAAAACCGTCCAAACCACTCCAGTGATTCTGCGGCAGCCAAACTTAGCCAAGTGACAATGCCTGTGAAATTTCCAAGATGCGACGTCCGAAATCAAAAGACTACAGCGGCTACTCGCCAGATCAGCTGACTTCCATGAGTGTTTCCAGGTTGCCCAAAGTGGCTTGGGATGCTTGGGATATTTGGCACTTCTTGAACCCGCGAAAAAAATGCAGGTGTCGCCAGGGGGGAAACGCAGAATTGGGGATATGTAGTCTGTCAAGCCATTCTCCTCAACCAGTTCCCTGTTGGAAAGTGGTGCAAATTCAGGGTTTTTTGTTGGCGATCAGACATATTCCGGAAGGTAAATTGATCACGTTGAGGTGGGGATATTTGTGCAGGTTCACACAATTACCTAGGTGCTTGCAAACCACTTCGTTTTTTGGCGTCAGTGCAGAACGCGCTGTACAGTCACAGATGTTTGTAAGTTGTTTGGAGAGATTGGAATGTTACTTTGTTTCGACATGTATATGACAAACTATGCAACGCATGAGGTTTTGCATTTACAGTCCAACTTGGGGATTATTTTTTGAGGGCATGTGTGCACTGTCCCAGCAACGGGTTTATATGGATTTGAAACACTTGTTGGTAAACGGAACAATGTCAGTTAAACACTTTCTTCAATGCATGATCTGTTTGTTGCACCCAACAGGTTTTATGAAAACATATCCAGAAACAATAAAGAAAACTTGTCAGACGATTTGAAAATTTCAATGTATCGATGTCAGGCCTGTATGTTACGTGTGCAGCGCATGTGCAGCGCTTGCGGCTGGAGCAAGTGGAGGTTGTGATGGTGGCAGAAATGACCAAAATCATCGATTCCGTAGTCGATCTTCAATGATTTTGGATTGGTGGCTGCAAACACCATTATTATATATATATATATTATATATAGTATACTAAGTATACTCATTAGTATCTTTAGAGTGGATAGTGGCTACCTCAGAAACCGCCCGTGAAATGTCCATGGATCATGTTGAGGTGGGGATATTGGTGCTGAATCATGCCTGAATGCGCCTATGCATGTGTTGTAGGTCTGTCATAGCAAAAGGTCGCTCTGGGTAGAATTGTAAGCTGTTCTTGAACACAGACACTGTTTTTGTTTGCCCTTCGGCTTCGGCAAGTTGTTAAATTTTGTGGAAAATGATTGATTGGGTTCTGTTGGAAGCTCTGGTTGGCGGGTTTCAGTTCAAGGTCAGTTCAAGATCAGCCATTCAAACGTTCATGGTTTAAGGTAGGGGTAGAGATATGATTTAATTTAATGTGCTAATGATCTATTTTTCGATCCCTCGGCGGAAGCAAGTCCAAGTCTATGTAGGTTTGGACAGGGTAGCCCTCCTCGACCGAGTGTTGCTTTCTGATCTCAGCGACTGGTTTCTGTGATTTCCCAATATGTCGAGATGCTGTATACCAAGATTACCAAGGCATACCAAGGCGGGAAACGAGAAGGGCATCCATGAACTTACCACCAGATGCCTGAGTTTGGCAAAAAGCTTTGTCGCCGCTTTGCCGCTTGAGTTCGGCCGAAGTTTGGTTTTCAACCAAGCACGAGTCTAGCACCTCTAAAGTTTTCGACTCTCGGTCACAATTTGGTGGTGGTGCTTATCAAGTTGAATACTGAGAACAAACGCGTGTTTGAGGACCGGTGAGTGTATTGAGCTGCTTCTTTCAGCTGTAACTGCAGGATAGTCAGGTGACAAGCACTACTACTTTTGATAAAATTTCGGCATACGCCGACTTATATAGTTGAAACATGTTGAAACCAACTCGACAGCTTCGGTTCAGGAAAAGCATAACGATGCTGCATCATGTTGCTTCCTAAATTGAAATGATCCGGTATGATCTTTGCAAGCAGACGTCTTCATGCAAGTTCGCCAGCGATTCCAAGATTGACCTGCAGCTGATGCAGGTGTGAAAGGACATTTATTTATAATGGTTGATGTGCATCCAGCATGGACCTACAGCTACAGATCCTTACACCTTACCCAGCTCTATCCCAGCTTTTTCGAAGTATTTCAATATGAATCTGGCAGATTGTCACAGAACAAGTTGACGTCCGAGCCGCTTGGACCGGCAACGCGCAATGGGTGGAGCCGCATCGGGCGAGCCTACTCATCAACGCCGCGTGCAGGATGCGGAAGCCCGCGCTTCCAGCAAGGACCTGTCAGTTTTCAGCGGGGTTTTACGGGACGAATGTGGAAGATTTGAGCAGCTGAACCTGGAGCTAACATGAGCTACCCTCTAGTAATTTAACATAACTAATTATGGAAAATCACCATTTTCAATGGGAAAATCCACTATTTCTATGGCCATTTTCAATAGCTATGTTAAATTACCATGAGCTAACTGTTGAGTTTCAATATATGTCAGATCGGCAATGGCACGCAGCATCATGCCTTGCATACGCTTGCACACGGCTGGATATGGCTGGATATGGCTGGATTCAGCCATGTGAGTTGCAAATCTTCGATTTTGTCTGTAGAGGAGCCGGCTCACCAGCTCCGCGAAGCTTCTGCGGAGCATTCGGGGCAGGCCGGGACGGGCAGAGAGGTCACCAAGACAAGGAACACGTCACAACCAATACTTTGCGATCTTCTGTGTTTTTTTCACTTTCCTTGTCTTTTGTTTATTTTTTCTTTGTGTTTTTCTCCCTTTACTTAGTCATGCCTTCTCCTGTTCCTGTTTTATTGCCTTTCTGTTTGGTTCCTTGTTTTTTTTTCCTTTGATGGTTTTCTCTGTTTCTTCTCTCTGCTGTTTTGCCTTTTGTATGCTATGTTATTGTAGTTTTGCCGCTTTCTTCCTTCTATGTTTTCCTGCTTCTATATTTGTTTTTCCTGCTTCTCTGTTTTCTTGTTCGTTCTACCCTATCCTTGCAATGTTTGTTCGTTTTCGCTGCTCTGCTTCAAGTTTGTGCTTCAGGATCTCTTCATTTTCCTGCTTCCCCGTTCTTCTCCTTTATTGCAACAACAACAGCAAGAGCAACAAAAACAGCAACAAGAACAAGAGAAGAGAACAACAAACATAGAACCACCAGAACAACCAGACAAGAACGAAGTTGTTAGCCGCAGCTGTTTCTCGTTTCTTTTCTATTTTGTTTTTCGGTTTCTTTCGGTTTCTTTGCTTTGGTGAAGCCATGAAGAGACCATGAAGAGACCATGAAGAGATAAGGCGATACCGGGTAAATGAAACGTAAATGACCAGGGCAAGTTAAGCTGAGTTAAGCTGTCTCAGTGCTGAAAAAGCATCATCTAAATAAAGGAAGATGGAAACTCCACAATGCGTCAATTTGGATATGCAAAATGGAAGGTTGAAGTCTCACAGTATTAAACCATATTAAACCTACCTGCAAAATGGAAGATTGAAGCCCCCAAAGTTGCATTTACCATCCAACATGGAAGGTTGAAGTTCCAAAATGCTGAGGGCACTGTCCAAAATAGCAGGTTGAAGTGGGGGGTTGGAGTTCCAAAATGCTGCAAATATAATGTCCAAAATATTGCAGATACAATGTGCCATGAAAGGTTCTACCTCCAAAATGTTGCAAGACATGCTCATGCCATGCAAAATGCACGGTTCTATCTCCAAAATGAGGGTTGAAGTTCCACGCAAATACGATGCAAACTGAGGTTCCAGCAAGCAGTTACCCCGAAAAAAATCAAAACTTACCGACCTATTACCCACCAACGATTCCCCATTTGCTGTGCAGGCGGCGACAGAAAATACCTCGGGAGATTTGGGTGCCAAGGCGTTGGCTCCGGTGATCGTTACTTTGATCAGCGGCCGAAGCTGTAGATGCACCTCGTCCACGAAGCCTGGTCGAAAGTGTGCACCATCTTGTTAATGCGCGGGTGCTTCTTGGAATATCTTGGAATTTGCTACTATGACAATCTATGACACACATTCCGTCCCATTCCAAAACACCGTGTTTTCAATGGTCATTTGTTTTGGGACTGCCTTCCCCAATGGCCCCAATTCCTCATCCCTCCGCATTCCTAGCTCCGCATCGCATCGGGGCCTCCGATGGCCCCGAAGGCTCGGTCACTCAGGCGATTCTTCGAAAAATCGTACCATCGGGGAGTTGACGCAAGAGGCGCAGCACCTCGACGCGATGATGACCCAGTCTATATCCCATGACGGATCCATGGTGCTGCTATATATGGTAACATGGATCCCATCAATATACCCCAAATGTTAGTATATATACCATACATGGATCCTATGGGTATAGAGGGGTTCTTGCAGTAATTGTAGAGATACAAAGAGGCCAGGTTTGAGGCTTGGGCTGTGGCATGCTGTGGCTATGGCCTTCGTCCGTCCTTGTAATTCCTTGTACAAGCTGCGAGTTCCTTACGCAAGGGTCCTTGCGCATCTTCGTTGACAGGGACCTTGAACAGTTGAAAGATCTTGAAAGGATCCAAGTTGTGCTCTTTGAAACGCTCCTTGTATGGAGATCCCATGAGTTTCTTGGCTGTGGCTTCATGTGGCTTCATTGGTGGTCTTGTACAGAGATATTGCTGGTTCATGCTGGTTCCTTGTGCAGAGATCCTGTGAGTTTTCCACAGGATCACAGAGATCTGGTGAGTTCTTTCGAGGGATCCTTGGGGTGTCTGCTGGCATCGGGAAGTGAAGAGGGGTGTCGTTTTCTTTGATCATTGACAGGAGTAGGAAACAACATAGGCGATTTATTATCTTAAAACATGTGACATCATATGTCAATTTGTTTGGAAAACGCTCCATAGCTTTCCACGCTTCTGCTCCAGCCATTTATTCTAATTATACTGGTCAGATATGGTCAGATGGTCAGCTTGGCCATTCACGGCTTCCCCAAGTGGAGGGTCGTCACGGGTTCCTGGTTCAATTTGTCATGGTATCCCGAGACGAGACGTGCCAAATTGACAGGAACCAACCAACCATAACCAACCATAACCAACCATTCTGCCATAGCCAACCAACAATGCTGTGCGCAGTCGTGTTGCGGTTTCGAGGCAAGAGCTGGGCGTCGTCATCAAGTGTTTAATTGGTCCAAACATGGAACCTTTGCCACCTGGGCTGCAGAGATTTGATAGGTTGGTTGGAAGACTGGTGGCAAAGATGGAGACCAAAACGGCCACGCATGTTAAAAGATTCAAGCGGTCCGTTTTGAACAACGCGCACGATTGAAACGGATGCAATCGACCAATTGGTGAAAAACACACGCAAACCGATAGAATTGAATGATTTTGTCCAGTACGAATGATACATATTATGACTATTATGTCAGAGCAAGGCGACAAACCATATTAGGTCATGTTACACCATGTTACACCATGTTACACCATGTTACACCATGTTACACCATGTTACACCATGTTACACCATGTTACACCATACATCCAAATTATTCCAAATGACTGGTCTTCTTCCTGGATACATGTTTGAGTCAATACGATTCTTGGATTGATGATCGCCAAGATGCAGTCAAACCAGAACTTTCCGTTTGAGGAACAGAACTTGAACAGCGAAAGTTTCTTGTCCCAAGCTGTGCACCAGAACTTGGCCCGTCCAAGATTATGTTGCGCCAAGGAACGAAGGCAAGACGCTTGAAGAAGAAAACGTCCTGCCTGGCAACACCCTGACGGTGGTTGTAGCGCCCCGTCAACACACTTGGTCGAACAATGATGCAAAAATATGGAAAATCACCAATCAATGAATCCGCGTCCATGGATGGGTGCAAGAAATTAAAGGAAGAGGGTTTATAGTTTATAGCGGCGATATTTTTCGGCCATATCACGTGGCATGATCCAAACAAATACAGCGGTTCAGTTCTAGATTCAAGTTCTCCTTTCAAGTCGTTCGAGATTATTTTAGTTTGTGCTTCGAGCCGACCGAAGCCTTGCTTCCTGCTTGAGATGTTTTTCTATGCGCGCACGACGTGCGCAGAAACTGTAGAAGGTTCGTTGGAGTTGGTGCCTTTAGACATCGCTTTGAATCTTGCACGGACAGCATTCAGTTCCGATCAGTTCCGCATTTCTTCTGCAAGATGATAAGCCTTGCCTAATGAGCAGCCAACAAGTCTGACATTAGCTTCCAGCATGTCAAAGCATTGAGACATATTGAAACATATTGAGACTGGAGAGTCCATGGGGTTAATGTGAGTCCAGGTTTCTATTTGTCAGATTGGGCATACCATCGTTGCATATTGTTGCTTCAGATGCCGCCGAGGTAGACCAGGCAGAGGATCAAAAAGAAGCTGCTGAGTGTCCCTCAGATCCCAAGTTTGTTCGGACGGTCGCTCAATGTCGCTCACCCGGTTTCAATACAATATATATAAATAAATATATTATATATATAGCATGAAACATATATATATATATATAAATGGCATATATATATATGCCATATAGCATGCCATTTCCGGTTCCAGGCCAAAACGGATTGACAGGATTTTTGAAAGTTCTTCTGGAACACACTTGGCATTTTCAAATTACGAATGCAGCATGTGATCGTCTTGTTTTTTTACAAGCGCTGTGGGACTTACAGACTTACTGCTTTCGGCCATTGGACAAAAACCTCAATTGGTGGGGTTCCGATGTGCTCATTCGAGGCACATTGAATACAATATCGCAGATGGACTATGAATGACGTTAGATGTCACCTGATGCCTTTCCATATCGCGAAGACACTTCCGCCAGCGACTTCTGTTTCAATTCCTGTCGTTAAGTTAATTATACTTATGTAACTTATCTAGGCTACAATTTATATAGATCCAATAATGAGATCTAAACTGGTTGAATCTTTGCTCCATATGCTCCACTTGTCGCTTTTGGCTGATTTCTTTTAATGGGTATCTCTTGGTTCACTGAGGCGGCGACATCGTGGCGGCGGCCCTGTGCGGCCGCGTGGGCGCGGTGCGCCACTTCCTTCGGGCCTGGCCCGGCGGCGCCCGGTGGTGGGACGGCCGCTACGACCTGACCCCGCTGCACGCGGCGGCGCGCAGCGGCAACGTGGAGGTCTGTCGCGTGCTGCTGGCGGCCAGGGCGGAGGTGAACGCCGAAACCAGCAAGTGTCACTTGGTGTAAAAATGGGTCAAAATGGGTCAAAATTGGTAAAAATCCATGACCTACGATCATTGATATTCCATGATCCAGGTATGAGGACTTGTGAGGTGATGATCCACTGAGAAGGATTTCTTTCGGATGTTCTATCGATGTTTGTTGGGGTGTTAATTTTGGATGTTTCATGGGAGAGCCTGCAGATGAAGTTCAACTTATAGAAATATTATCATCGTATGAAATTAAGATCTGGTTGGGCAAGTTCCCACGGAAAATATGTCACTGAGCCAAAGGATAGCAAAAGGTTACGTTGCCGCTGAGTAATCGTTGAGGCCGACATCATACTTTCAAACACAATCAAACATAGCATGACATGTGTCTCAAAATAGAAGCATCTTTATCATGCGGGGCAAAGTGAAAACCAAGCTCATAGCCACTCACGGGGACTCTGTGTAGGATAATGTTTCAGTATGTTTCAGTATGTTTCACTCAAATATGAGAGGTCTAATTCATCTCCATTCCAATCTCCATTCCAGTGTGCTTTGGTTTTCCATGTCATCCTTTTCGATGCTTTTCCCAGATGGCCTTCCCTGACAGACCTGTCTCCTTCAATCTTGCACGATTTCTTCCACGCAGTATGGGGGTGCGAGGGGCGCGAACCCACATCCGTCACACATCCATAGCCCTTGATGCTTCCGCATAATTACTTTCCGACATTCCAGAGGAGAAAGTTTGGCTGCCCTTAGTTATTTTGCGGATGCAAATCCGTGTATTTCAATCATTAATTATAAACCATGCATGATAAAGATTGATAAAGTGTGTCTCAACTTCGTCAGTGGGAATCCTTTTCCTTAATGCAAGCCCTTGCCTTTGATGGGGAATGGAATCTGAAAGCGTTGCCTTTCACATTGCGAGTGGTGCTTTTTCTTCCTTTGGCAGAGACGAAATTGGCATAATCGGTGAGACGAATGAAGGCAAATGGGCAAAGACCTAAAAGGTTCATGCAGAAACCTCTGCATGAGAGGTCCTATGTTTGAAAATGTGCCGCAAACCATGGAAAGCGATATGGTGAACTGTGAACTACTTAAAGCGATAGCGTGATTTGATGGTGAAGTTGAAAGGTGTTGTTGTTTTGCGCAGCCATTTGGGATTGTATAGTGACCTCATATGCATTGTTTTTGTATTCGCCGGGTGTGAACCCAGGGGCTCCCAAAAGGCCTGGCCTAGAGGTGCTCCCATAAAGCCTAGAGTACGCACTTCTGACCACAGAACTTGCTGCCAAAACCTGTCAAGACACAGGCTCTGGAAAGCAGAGACTGTGCTTGAGAAACAATCTTGCACATGTTTCCTGATTTTACCAGATGAAATTATCGATAACCAAATCGATAACGTAGCGATAACCCAAAATTGCGAAAAGGGGCCCCGGGCAGAGACCCAATCCATCCCAGTGGCGTGGTCCAGCCTGGCCTTGAAACCTACCAGAAGATAGCTTTGATCTAACGATCCAGTGAAATGAACAGAATCCGCAGAAGAAGGTGCGCAACAGTGCAAAAACCAAGCTGTTCTGAGGTGGCCATGAAGTGCCCCTATTGTTGACGTGGAGATGAATCAACAGCCGTTGTTTGACATTCTACAAAACCATGTAAAGCGATATATAGCGAACTACCTAAAACGATAAGTTTTGCTCATGACCGCCTTTGTGACCCTCCTTGCTCAATTTTTATTTTTCGCTGTTGATCACCTTGCCTACCTTTCCTTCTATGCGATTCCGCATGAGCAGCATCACGTGCCTTTACTGCATCCCCATATTTTATGACCAAATTATACATCCGTATAAAAGGTGGTTTATGACCATATTTTATGACCCATATATTTATATATTTATTATATATATTATATCAGATGGTTTATCCATGTTTACCCCTTCAAAGCGGCTCACAGCGTCGCGCTCAGGGGCCACGCCATTGGACTACGCACGGGAGAATCGCCACGACGAAGTCGTGAAGCTTCTGGAGGCATCGACGCACTGCTTGGGCAACAGATGGCAAGGGCTTGGGTCAAGAAATGCGCAATGCCATGCAGTGCCATGGTCATCCATCATCTTGATTCATTATCATTCCTTATCATTCATTATCCATAATTACTGTAGCCATCGTAGCCTGTGGCTCCAAGGCTGAAAGCTGAAGATGCTCGGGTTAGCCCAAAAACTCTTCTGTTCGACCGTTCGACCGCATGAGTTTCACTGCTTTGGCAGCAGTGCAGCCTGCGATTGACTCATTGGATTGGTTTGCACCAAATGTGAAGGTAGTAGTTGCTTAGCAACGCTGATTGAATTTCGAGAGCAAACGCGTGACTGACAATTGAGCTGCTTCAGGAACAGTTGTAAGTGCAGAATGCTAAAGGTGATACCGAAAATATCCACGCCTTTCGTAATCACATTTTGTTTACTTGGCGTCAATGCAGCTGAAACATGCTGAAACCTGTTCAAATCTCTGGCCCGAGGGAAAAAACAATCCGATCAAATCGAATGTACCCACATCATCTCACATCATTGTTGAAAAACAACCGCATGGTTCCCCTGCAAGTTTGTCAGTGGTTTCAAGGCAGTTTAACACATGCGGTTGCGAAACGGAGAAAGGCGTTATCGCCATGAACACACTATCGAATGCTGCGTGGGGCATTCTCAGCATGAATATATAAAGCTATTATGAAGCTTTCTTTGTCCGCAATCTGAAGATTGTCACAGAACCAGGGCGACTTGGACTGGCAATTCGCAATGGGTGGAGCTGCATCCAGGGCATCTACTCTGCAAACCAGAGTGCAGGATGCTTCGAGTGAAGATCTGACAAAGGTCTGGCAGGACGGACGCAGACAATTTTAAGGGTCTGGTTGTTGGGTTTGAGACTTTGAGTTTTTCCTTGCTGTGAGTATTCGACCTTTGAAGTACTTTCAAACTTGATTTTTAATGACATGAGGTCACACTATAGTTGAAAGCAGACGGACCGCAGGTTGCTAGTGCTGTTAGGACAGGTCGAGGCAACACATGTGATTGATGTGATTGTGAAACAGAGACAGGCATTCTCGGCATGAATCGAAGTTTCTATTCCCAACTATTGCCACAGGACAAGAACAATAGCAATGCGCAATGGGTGGAGCTGCATCCAGCGAATGGGCTCTGCAAAGCAGAATGCAGGATGCTTCCCTTGAAGATCTGACAAAGGTCTGGCAGGACGGACGCGAACGCTTTGAAGTTGTTTTGCTCTAAGTGTTCAGCAACTCACGAAAGCTAGCTTGCTAGCTGGAGTTGGGTTTGCTTTTCCAATGAACTGGGGGCGGACTGGACGCAGCTGCCATGATTTTTCAAGTCAACCTTGTTTTGCCCTCCCCTGTTCCGCATGATCAATCATGTCGCACTGTGACCCCCCTCCGGCTCAAACCTCAAACTCCGTTGCGTCCATCCTGCTGGGTTTCATTTGTGACCACGCGTTCGCATGCCCACGTATACACACATAAGTGTAAGGCCCCTTCCCCCCGCCAACATTGGCTATACCCTCTTCAAGCTTGGGTGCCAAAAAAATCCTCCCCAGAAAAAATACGATCCCGCATTTAAGTAAGGATTTCAAGTGGCGACAATTGAAATCTAATTAAAACTGTTTTTTGCCGATGAACTTGTGGTATTTGTAGTACTTGTAGTACTTGTAGTAGCTGTAGTACTTGTAGTACTTGTAGTAATCCCTTCCTCCTAATACTAACCCCCCCTAATAATAAACACGTCAGGTAGTTTTTAGTATTAGGTGGGTATTTATCATTAGGGAACCTTTTTAATAAAATCAAAACCTTAATAATGAAAACTATTTTTTCCGATCTCAAAATCAATTAAATTTCTTGATATAACGTAATTAAACTATTGCCAAAAACTGGATTTCGAAGCTTCCCCCTAATATTAAATTAAAACCCCTTATAATAAAGACTATTTTTCCGATTTCAACGCCAACTAAATTTCCTTATATAACGCAATTAAAATACTGCCAAAAATTGGATTTCGAAGCTTCCCCCTAATATTCAATTTAAAACTTAATAACAAAAATAAAAAATCGGACGGACCCTAATAATAAACACCCCGGGGTGAACTAGATTTTAGCATTAGGGGGCAAAACCCACAAATCGTAGCTTTATTTTTAAATTGTTTTCTAAAGGGGATCAATTAAAAATCAAATTGGCCAATCTGAAATTTTCTGAAATTGGAGGTGGACGCCTGTTTTTAGTACTTGGGGGACGTTTAGAAATAAGTAGGAGGAAGGAATTACTTACTTGTAGTACTTGTAGTAAGTGGGGTTCAGCATGTTGACTGCGTTGTTTTCCACCTTAAGTTTTATTCAAAGTGTAAAAAGAGAAAGAGAAAGTAAAAGAGCACGGGAAAGAGAGAAATAAAGAGAAGGAGAGAGGGAGGAACAGGAAGAGGAAGAAGAAGAAGAAGAGAAACAGGAAGAGGAAGGGGAAGAGGAAGAGGAACAGAGAGAGAGAGAGAGAGAGAGCGAGAGAGAGAGAGAGAGGAAGAGGAACTCAGGATCAGCTCTGGAAAAGTTTGCTGCAATTGTGAACCTTGAGGACAAACCTACTAAAGTGAACTGGGCCATCTCATGGCCCAGCGCCTTGGAAATTTGTGGAAAAACTGTTCTGCAATAAGGGTTTAATAAGTGGCCTGATTCTTTTGGGAAAGGCTTGGGCTTTGAACTTCTCAATTGCTTTTCTAAAAGGCTTTTCTTTCTTCTCTTGGCTCCAGGATCAGCTCTGGAAAAGTTTGCTGCAATTGAGAAAACTGAGAACAAACCTACTAAAGTGAATTGGACCCTCTCATGGCCCAGTGCCTTGGAAATTTGTGGAAAAACTGTTCTGCAATAAGGGTTTATTAAGTGGCCTGATTCTTTTGGGAAAGGCTTGGGCTTTGTTCCCAAGCAAGCAAGGTTTTCAAGGGTTTTCGGGAACCAAGAACAAGGTTCCCAAGAACAGGTCCCCAGGAAGAGGTTCCCAAGCAAAGGAAGGTTCCCAAGCAAGGTTCCCAAGCCAGGTTCCCAAAGGCAAGGTTCCCAAGCAAGGCCTCCAAGCAAGGTTCAAGCAAGACCCCCAAGCAAGGTTCCCAAGCAAGTTTCCGAAGGTTCCCAGGAGCAGGTTCCCAAAATCCCCAAAGGTTCCCAAAGGTTTGCAGAACAGGTTCCTAAGAACAGGTTCCCAAGCAAGGTTCTCAAGAGCAGGTTCCCAAGCAAGTTCCCCAAGCAAGGTTCCCAAGCACGGTTTTCAACAACACGTTCCCAGGGCAGGTTTCCAAGCATCGTTCGCCGGAATAGGTTTCCAAGGAGTTTCCAAGAACAGGTTTCCAGGAACAGGTTTCCAAGAACAGGTTCCCAAGCGAGGTTACCAAGCAAGGGTTCCCAAGCAAAGCTCCCAGGAACAGATTTGCAAGCAAGGTGTCCAGGCACAGGTGTCCAAGCAAAGTTTTTGTTGTTCCCGACAGATGGTCAATCAAAGGTTTATCTCGGTTTATCTCAAACATCTTTCAAACATCATTCCCACAAACATTTGCTGACTTTTTCATGTAGTTGTTGCTGTTGGGGATATTCTTTGGGCTTACTTTTGGTTTGCCACAATCCATCAGACATGGGACATGGGCATCAATTTTGGCAATCTTGATGGAGATTTGCGTACTTTTCGGATGGATTTGGATGGCGCAGAGTTCCAGTGGTCGGTGCGGGTGAGGATCTCATTCATCAGCACGTCCTCTGTGTGCTCCGCGAGAATCCCGACGTCACCAGGTCGTTTGCTTTGATCCATCGGTCCGTTGCTGTGACCTGACATGACATGCCTTCAGGGGATCAGTCAAACGAAGTCAGTTTGGCTGTCGCTTCAAGTTTGTTTCGGTCGGACCTCTTCTTTCATGTGGGTTGATCTGAACATAAGTTGCCCCGTTCCATTCATTGATGAATCATAATTATACCTTTTCTTATTCGGCCATGAGTTTGGGTTTGAGCTCCCCCATCCTCAAATACAACCACCTTAGGTATAGTTGGTGACATATACCCCATAAAAATCTTTCCATTTATCCCATTGTAGATATATATATATATACAAACTATAGTTGGTGACATATACCCCATAAACATGTTTCCATTTATCCCATTGTTACAAATTTTAAGTTATGTTCAATCATATCAAAGCATATTAAATCCCAATTTTTCAATGGA